TCTTGATGGATTCTTCCCTTGAGTGTTATGAAGTGTCCTTCTGTGTGTCTTATTATGACCTTTGTTTTGAAGTCTGTTTTGTCTGATAGAAGTATTGCTACTCTAGCTTTTTTTTCCATCCATTTGCTTGGAATAGTTTTTTCCAACCCTTCACTTTCAGACTGTGTAGGTCTTTTGTTCCAATGTAAGTCTCTTATAAGTAGCATATGTGTGGGTCATGTTTTCTTATCCATTCAGCTACCCTATGTCTTTTCATTGGAGCATTTACTCCATTTACATTTAAGGTTATTATTGATAGGTACTTTGTTCATTACCATGTTACTCCCTTTGTACCTGTGTTCCTCTGTCCCTCATTCTTTTTCTGTCTGTTCTTAAAGTAATCTCTTTAGCATCTTGAAGAGCTGATGTGGAGGATGTGTATTCTTTCAGCCTTCTTTTGTCTGGAAAACTTCTTATTTCACCTTACATTTTATTTTAAAACCTCGTTGGGTAGACTAATCTTTGTTGCAGTTCTTTGCTTTTCATTACTTGAAATATTTCTTGCCATTCTCTCCTGGCTTGTAGTGTTTCCATTGAGAAGTCAGCTACTAGCCTTATCATGGCTCCATTTTATGTTACTTGCTGTTTCTCCCTTGCTGCCTTTAAGGTTCTCTCTTTGCCTTTGAATTTTGCCTTTTTAATTATGATATGTCTTTGATTGGGCCTTTTTGGGTTCCTCTGGATTGGGACCCTCTGTGCTTCCTGGACTTGTCTGACTTTGTCTCTCATCAAATTAGGGAAGTTTTCTTTCACTGCTTTTTCAACACAGGTTTTCTATCTCTTCTTCTCCTTTTGGTATCCCTATTATACAGATATTATTACATTTCATGTTGTCCTGTAGTTCCCTTAACCCCTCTTTATTCTTTCTGGGTCTTTTTTCCTTCTCCTGCTCTTTATGGAAGTTTTTTTCTACCTTGTTTTCCAGCTCACTGATTTGATCCTCTGCTTCATCTAGCCCATTTTTAATTTCTTCTACTTTGTTCTTCAATTCAGAAATTGTATTCTTCATTTCCTCTTGGCTCTTGTTGATAGTTTCTATGTCCTGTTTCATGTTGATATAGTTCACAGTAAGTTCCTAGCAGTTTTTTTGTAGTTTTTGGTAATTCTCACTGGGCTCTTTGAACTTCCTTATAACTGTTATTTTGAACTCAATATCTGATAGTTGACTTGCCTCTATTTCATTTAACTGTCTTTCTAAGGATTCCACCTTTCCTTTCGATGGGGGTTGTTTCTTTGTCTTCACATTATTTGTAAGACTCTTCTTGTTTGCCTCTGCTTCTTAAATTTGATCTGTCTTGTTTCCCTGAGTTTGTGGTGTGGACTTTTATCGTGGGAGACCTCAGAGATTCAGTGGTGCAGTCTTCTTGATCTCCTGAACTTGATGCTGTCGGGATGCCCTTTATGCCATTTATATTAGCTCTCTGGGTGTAATTGGGTTTTGATTGTTGTTGAGTCATTGTTTGGTTGGGTCTTCCTTCCAGCTGGTTGACTGAGGGTCACTCTGCCCACCACATCTTGTGTGCTGTTGTGCAGGTGCTGCTAGAACAAAAGCACAAAGCCCAGGAAAGAAGCCCATTTGCGCAAAAATAGCTCCCTCCGCCTGTCAATGCCATTATCAACAGCAAATGAACCAGTATTAATAAGGGTATGAAGAGATAAGACTGTTACAAGAAAGCAGAGAAATAAACTATGGTATAAATCTGGTGACTTAATATGTACACACTTGATGGACAAGAAATGAATCTTAAAAAGCTATGCAGGAAAGAAAATATCACAAATTATAGAGACCACAGTGGGTTTCATCTCAGTAGCCTCTGGTATTTACCACTGTTTATTCTTTCTGGATCCACCTCTGCTGATGTCAGATATTGACCTCACGTGACCCTAGGCAGTCTACTCCAGGGCTGCCAGGGATCTACTATCTGTGTCTGTCTCCTTCAGTTGTTAATCTAGTCACTTGGCACTCAGTAGTCAGGCTTTAGCACCATAAGGCAAGGCACCGTTCTTTCCGGGGTCCGAGCTGTTGTTTCCCCTCAGGCTGCTGCCACTCGTAGGAGAGTGGCCTGCCTGATCAGGATGGCTGCTGCCATATGGAGGACGACTCACCACTGGGATCCCGGAGTCTACTCTCCGTTCTGTCCTCGAAGCTTCCTTTCCTAATCTCTCCTCGGGTGTCTGTAGCCCACTCTGCCCCCACCTTTGCCAGAACCCAAGGTGAGTGGCTACAAATGAAAATTTGTGTTTGGCCCTTTAAATGGTTCTTTGCATCTCCAGCCACCCATCTCTGGCAGAGAGCAACCCTGCCACTTTTTGCTGCTGGTCGTTATTTGTTTACTTTGTGGGCTCTGGTGTTCTAGGCTGGGGATCCCAGCTTAGTGTTTAGACCCCACTCTTCCCAGAAGGAACCAACCAGCTTTCCCTCTTCCTTCCCCTCTTTCTAAAAGTAAGTAAATATAATCTTTTTTTTTTTAAAGGATATAGAGTTGTAACATGTTTCTGGAGTTGATCTCAGACCATCCCTCCCATATATTACAGTGATAACCCTGAGACACAATAGTGACAGTAATTATTTGAATGCACTGGAGAGAAACTCCCACAGGCAGGCAGAAATGGAGTGGCCATGGGAAGGAAGAGTACCGTACTAAGTGCTGTTCATATTTTTTTGGCTTTTTGCCATGAAGGTACTCTCTAAAGGCCGTAGTGTGAAAGTTCTAAAACCTCAGCTGAAAGCCATGGAGTTGCTCACTGTGTTAGAAGAAAGACTTTGAGGCTGGACATCAAAGAGGAAATCTGGGTAAGAGTGCCGACTCAGGGAGCCCCCACATCTGAGTATGAACTGTGTGTAGGTTCTTGACAAACCCTGGGACCGTGCATGCCTGTGGGAGACCAATAGACAGAACAGCTACGGAGGCCATTCCGGGGACAACCAGCACCATTGGAGCATGGACTTTGGGTTAGATGATAGTACTGTAACTGAACAGGGTTATATCTGGTCAGTTTCTTGATTTGTACAATTTATAGAGAATATCTTTGTTCTTAGGATGTACCTAAAATATTTAAGTAAACAGTAGCATGCTATCTGTGATTTAATTTAAAATAACTATCAAAACAAAACAGACAGATAAGGAGGAAAATGGGGGAAATGTAAACAATTGTGAATGTGGGTACAACTTTACAACAGTTCTCTGTACTCTTCTTGCATATTTTCTGTAAATTTGTAATTATATCCAAAAAAATTTTTAAAGGGGTCATGTGACACTGAAAGTGTTTTATGTTTGAAGAATTACTGTCCTCTGTCCTCCTCACAGGTGAACTCTTTACTTTTTGGTCATGAATCCAAGTCATTCATTTATCGGTTTTTAATTTGAGTGCTTAAGAAAGAAGAGTGATCAGAAACTTGATTCTTGTCTCAAAGTATTTTGAGTCTAGTTGAGGACAAAAGAGTAGTACACACACAGGCTGAACAAATAAAGCAAACCATGTTCATTGCCTTTGGTACGTGATATGCTATGAGACGGGCTGGCAAATGCTTTTTAGAAAGGGCAAGATAACAAATATTTTTCAGCTTTCTGGGCCGTCATGGTCTCTGCCACATACAGTGTGGAAGCAGACGTAGTGTGCACACACAGGAAAAGTGCAGCTGTGTTCAATGAAACATTTACATAAACAGCTGCAGGCTTTATGTAGCCCGCAGGTAGAAGCTGGCTGACCCTTGCTCCAACGTGTTATCAGGGTGGAGTTTTCGTAGAAACAGCAGCAGCACAGAGTGGGTCATGGTGCAGGGCATCGGCCCTGGGGTACTCACACCTCAGTTCAAACCCTGACAATGCTAGTTTGATAACCTGGGAGAGCATCTTACCTCCGCTTCCTCATCTGTAAAATGGAAATACTGAAAGCACCTTCTACACACCATTGTGTGTGTTGTGAGTGTGTTTGTGTCTTGCCTCACTGCTGTCCTCTAACTGGTTTCCTACTGTCCACACTCCTATTCTGCAGTCTTCCTCACAGCAGCAAGAATGATCCCATCAAAATGAAATCAGATCCTGTCCTTCCTCATAATCCCTCAGTGCTCCCTGTCAGACTTACGATAGGAGCCCCAGACTCCTCATTGTACATAGAGGCCCTTGTCCTGTTCACGCCACCCCTGGGGTCGTGTTTGTTCTGCCAGCACCCCCTCACTCTCAGTTTAGGGCACTTGAGTAGGTTTTCCCTTCTTCCTAGACTTCCTCATCCAGATAGAGTGGACTGGTTCATTCTTAACATTGTACATCGTGAGAGGTCCTCCCTGGCCTTACAATGAAGTAATGAAGTATCCACTCAGTCAATTTGTTTTGCCTGTTTTAATTCTTTGCTCTATTTGCTTGTCTAAGGTCTGTGTCTTGCCCAATGAAACATAAGATGCATGATTCACAGCACCTTTTCTTCCTTATTCACTGTGCCTGCCCTGAGGAGATGACCTTACAAAGCAAGCAGCCAATAAATATTTGTGAAGTTAATATAATGAGTTAACATACACAAAATATCTAACACAGTGACTGGCCCATAACTGAGTTCTCAGTACATGTTAGCTAAAATCATTACTGATGGCCAGTAGGATGTATATACCTCTCAACATTGAAATAAATTATGAGGCTTGAAAATGGGAAGAAATACTTGAAGGTCAAGTTCATTCATCCTAAGTATAGAAAAGTAACACAGAAATTTGCAGCTGGTACTTGTTATTTATACAGAATCTAGGGTAATAAAATGAATAATTAAAAGTCTGCAAATGAATTTCATGTCTTCTTACTGGAGCTTTTAATCTAGCAGGTTCACACTTTCGCTTTCTTCCCTACCCATTCATTTGTGACAGTTTGTGTTGGAAGATAAACTATTCCACAGGACCAGAGAGAACGGCAGAAAAGCATGGTGCTTTCGGGATGTCCCCGAACAATGGAGTAATTGAGCTCTCTTTGTTTTAGATGTCCACACAGAAGCTGTTCAGGCAGCGCTTGCGAAACACAAAGAAAGGAAGATGGCAGTGCCTATGCCTTCCAAACGCAGGTCCTTGGTGGTGCAGACCTCGATGGATGCCTACACACCTCCAGGTGAGCAGCAGGCCCACCGTCTGCTTTGTAAAGTGGCGAGTATGCCTTAGAATTAATTCACTACCAGCCCTGAAATCGTAGTCTTATTAGCTTTCAAAATAATGGTGCTCTAATTCAGATTTTGTTAACTACAGGTCCAGAAACAGTATATATGCTCTACATTAAATTTGCAAGGAAATTTACCCTTATTATGTGTGTAGATGTGTATTTTAAACTTTTCACTAAGACTCCTAAGTATGAAAGACTTAATGTCTTATAAAATTTTACTTAGTAATTCATATAGCAGAAGTGTTTATGCCTCCATAGTTCTAACCGAACTTGTACTTTCTTCTTTCTAGACTGGTATGTATGTATTCTCATATCTTGAAAATATTAATATAGGTACAATCATACCTCAGTACTCGTCAGCTTCAGAATCCGTCAAACCCTGTATTCATTGCATTTTGACGAGAAAAAAACACTTCAGCACTTGGTGCTTGCTCAGACTCATCACACTTGTTAGAACTTGTATGAGTCATGACATTATCCTGCAAGATAAAATGCTTCATTGTTCAGTACCAGTTGGTTTCAGCATTTGTCACGAGTTCCGGGAATGAATTAATGATGAGTACTGAAGTACCACTGTATGTTGTAATGTTGTATTAAAAAACAAAATGAATTGAAAAATTTAGGCAGTTATCTTAATTCAGGGTCATCAAACTTTTTCTTAAAGCGCAGATAGTATTTTGGTCTTTGTGGGCTATAGCGAATGGGTATGGCTGTGTGTCAATAAAACTTTATTTATAAAAATGGGCAGAGGGCCAGTTTGGTCAATAGTCCTGCTGACTTCTGATCTAAATGGCTCAAGGTAGCATCCCATTTACATTTCTGATTTTGGTATTGTTTTTATTTAATCTTGAATTAAGTTCTCTACTTCAACTGCCCAAGTAATTATAATTTGTATCCCATGGTCTTCAAAAACAAAGTGAAGCACACAGTTTCATCATCCAGGTATATATCACAAACATGAAGGATTGAGCCTAAGCTACTTGATTTTTTTGTCTGTGATTTTGGTTCTAGCATTATTTACGTCATTGTTGCCACAGAACTAAATGTCTTCTCTGTAGACGTGACGTAAGTTACCTTGTACGCTACTTTGTACAGTTTCATATGCCACCATCTTTGTTCACAGGAGAAGCTTAAGGTGCAATAAGAATAGTGGAAAGCATAGTATACAACACTTTGGGGAGTTATTGAAGTTTAACCCTGAGTGTTTGCAAGCAGTGAGGGTAATGAAGCTCCCACTTCAACTCAGAGATGTGGTCAGGTATGGATATATCCAGTAATTCTCCAAACAACTCTTAAATATTCAACTTTGCATGCCTTTAAAGGCACATGAAAGTCCTGAGGTTTATACGACAAGACAAATAAATAAATAAATAGTATACACCATACACCTTACTCTTTTTTTTTTACTTATTTAACATAGTTCAACAAATGTTCTTCATCTCAAGGCTATAGTATTCTTGTTAGAAACAGCATTTTTTTTTCCTTTGGCCAATTTATTTACTCTTCTTTCTTGATGCTGAGCCTCAACGTAATTTTGGACTATTTAAAAATCAGCATAATTAATATGTTTAATTCTGTTTATTTAGTTTGTTATAATTTGTCAAAATTTATAACAGGGTAGACATTTTTAGTTTTATATATTGTGCAATGAACAGAATGGGCTTATGAGGATAACAAACCAACTTAAAATATTTTTAACCAAATGTTTGGAACTAGGCAGTTTCCAGGAAGATGGACATTTTTCTGAGCCACTTTTTTGAGAAATGTTGAGTTTAACGTGCAAGAAATAATGTGACTTCACATATGTGATTTTTCCCATGTTAAATCCACCCTCAGAAATGTTTTTGTGTCATGAGTAATGAACCTTCAGAAAAACAAACCTTATACAGATGTCTTTGCAAAATATAAAAGAACATTATTGGAAATGTTTTTGGTGTAACGTGCATATAATTGACTAGAATTTTCATGTACACCATATAATACATTTTGTAAACCGTCATTTAGGAGTCCTAGTGATAATGTCACGTGAAATGTTTTGTACAGTCATAAATGCCTATTTCTAACCATATTCACTTGAACAGAATCTTGGCTCAGGTTTATTTTCCTCCCTTCCTTCCTTCCTTCTCCTTCCTTCTTTCCTTCCTTCCCCTTTCTTTTCTTCCCTTTCCTTTCCTTTTTTCCTTTCTTTCTTTTTCTTTGGTAATTTGTTAGAAATATCTCATGTCCACTGCTCTTCAAGGAAAATCCTGAAGTTTATATTCTCTTCATGAAATGAATGGTTGCTTACCAGTGTCATAGTTTCTAGAAAAGATGTTAAGATCATTACACTGCTAATCTTCTACAAGTGAAAACTACCTTTAGTTTTCACATATAAAAGTGTAAGGTGATTTGCCAGCAGTTCTGCTTCTAGCCATAACAAAGTCACTGGTACTGGACTAACCCAGGCACTATAAACAGCTATAACACTGCACAAAGCAAATGAGTTGACTGTAGGCTGTGGACCTCAAGAAGCACAAGGCTGAACTGAGAGAAGAAAACTCACGAGGCGAGCCCCGCAGTTTCCCACTCTCTGCCTGGAGAATATTTTCAGACTGTGGCACAGAGATTGGGATCTGAGCATACTTGGTGATCTAAGTTGCAGAGGGCTGAGATCCAGATTCAAAAAGGATAAAGGGGATGAAACTGTCCACAGATCCACAATAGCAAAAAAGAACTCCAAGTCTGCTAGGTCAAGAGGATCAACCAGTAATTGAAATAAGTGCTAAAGTAAAAACTCAGGCTTTAGAAGATGAGAGAATTCAGAGTTTCCTTGAAATACTACCCACAGTATCTAGTACTCAGTGAATGATCACTAGATACGCAGAGAAACAGGAGACTAAGCTGTGGCCATGGATAAAGGACCCAGTAGAAAGCCAGCCCGAGAGGGCTCCACTGTGCTTTCTGTCGAGTACATCGATTGTTGCTGGTCTCAAATATATTTGCAGTAAGCAGGAAATACACACAGGTTTTGAAGAGTTTCTATGAAAAAATGACTAGAAAATGTTTCATATACTTTTATATTTATTACATGTTGAAACAATATTTTAGATATTTTGTGTTAAATAAAAATACATTATTAAAGTTAATTGTACCTATTCATGTATTTTCTAATGTGGCTAATAGAAGATTTAAAATTATATAAGAGGCTCCCATTAGACTTCTGTTGGAAAGTGCTAGAGTAGGTGTTTGATATAGAGGAAGACAGAGTTTTAAAATCTGATTATAAGATCAGAGTTTATCAGACTCAGGGAGTCAAATGATAATATGTTAAAGAAATAAAGGAAAATATTGTCTTAATACTTGAGCAGAGAAAGGGAAAATATTTTTTAAACTAATGGAAACTCTAAAACTGAAAAGCGTAATACTGAAATAAAATTTTATTGGATTGGATTAATATCAGATGATAGGAGGGAGATGAAGTCTTTGAATTTGAAGAGCTACCAAGAGAAATTAACAAAACTTAATAGAAAACCAGAAGATTAAAGTAAAATTAACAGAACCTCAAGCATCTGTGGAACAATGTTAACATGCTTGTAACTGGAATCTAAGAAGGAAGACAGTGTGAGAAAAGGGGAGAAAACCTACTTGAATAAATAAAGATCAAAAGCTTCTTTTTTTCCCCCCCATTTTCCCCCATTACAAAACTTCTTAGGTTTATGTAACCATCACTTACAGCTTCAGAAGTGCAGTGAACCCCAATGCAGGATGGTCTAAAAAGAATCAATCCTATGGTCATAAAAGTCAAAGTGCTAAAATTCAAAGATTAAGAAGAAATTTTAGAGGTCATCAAAGGAAAACATATGCATGCATTATATATAGAACAGTTGTATGTATAATAACTGGCTGATATGAAGGTACAGTAAAATCCAGAAAACAATAGAGAGTTACCTTTAATGTCCTAAAAGGAGGGGAAAAAACCTGTCAAGTCGTATCCCATGGAAATATCCTTCATAACCAAGGATGTGAAAGGAAACAAGGACACAATGAGACACATGAAAGCTGAGAGAATATGGTACCAGCAGAACCGCACTGCAGGCATGCTAACGGTGGCCTGTAGGCTGGTGGGGAATGATAGAAGGTGAAAATTTACACCTTTAAAAAGGGAAGAATGCTGAAAACAAAAAATAGCTGGACAAATATAAAATACTATGCTTTTTCCTCATAATTTGCTTCAAAACAACAATCACACAAAAGACAGGGACAGGTAAAGAAAAGGGACTTATACTGTTGTATGGTTATTATGTTTGTGAAGGTAGGAAGCAGTTTTCTGTGTCAGATTTGAAGAGCAAACAGTTACAATATTGACCCAATATAGACCCATTAAGGATGCATATTGCTAGCCCTAGAGCAGCCACTAAACATAAAAAGAAATATAGGTAAGTATAGACAGCATAACAATGAAACTCTTAAAAAATATGTGGTAATAGAAAAGAAGTCAGGAAAAAACAGATTAAAAAATATTAGGAGGAATGAATGGAAAACAAGTAGCAAAATGTTAGCTTTAAAACCACTAATACCAGTGAATACAATAGATGTAAGTGGACCAAACACCCAGTTAAAAGAGATGGTCAGGTTGGAAAAAAGTGAAAATACTGGGTTGGTCACAAAGTTTGTTTCTTTTTTTCTCCCATAAGATGGCTCTAGTAGCCATTTAATGTCTTTAACTTCATTCGAAACAATTTTGTTAGATTGTATTGTGACAGCTGTCCATATCGGCATGATTTTTAAAAAAACTTATCAAAATTGGTGACTTTTTGGGTAGCCATTTTAATATTAATGATGGGAGAAAATAAGCAACATTTTCGGCATATATACTTTATTATTTCAAGAAAGGAAAAAATACAACTGAAACGCAACAAAAGATTTGTGGCGTGCACTGAGAAGGTGCTATGACTGATCAAACATGGCATTAG